TTTACAGAGGGCGGCGGGCATATTATGTCTGACATTTTCATATCATCTACTTATGAGTATTCTTCCCAGTATTTACCTTTATGACTATAAATGTTTCTAAGCAAACTCTCACTGAGCTGGACAGGTCTACAGACACTGACTTAGGACTTCTTGTACCGACACACAAATCTAAATCTGTAAACATCCCTGTTCTCCATATTGGCTCTGAAGCGATTCCTTCTTCGAGTGACTACACTGCAAGAAATGTGGGACAAGATCCACGTTTCCTGGTTTTGGGCAAAAAGACAAAACTGCTGTTCAGCCGAAGCTAATTTGAAGTTTTATCAGTTTGAGTTAACTGTATCAAGTCAGTATCTTGGTAGTCGTGTGAAGGTTAATAGCCTGTGTTTTGATCCGGCAACACCTACAGTAAATGCAACTACTAGGAATTATCACCAAGGAAACATAAAGAGGGAATTTTATACTAAAAAGACTGTAACATCTGACTCTAACACTTGGCTAACTAAGACTGGAGCCTCCTTCAAAGGGTCACATGATCCACGTTACTAAAAAAAAGGCATTCTCTCACTTATTTCGAGTGATATCTAGCTATACAGATCAGTCTGGTTTGTTCAAGTTTTATTGACAGCGAAAGGAATTTTGTTTTCAGCGCTCACAGCATTGAAGAGCAGCATCTCTTTCCAGGAACAATGTCTCGCTTTCTCTTGATATTCCAGACTGCACTGTGACCTCACCGTGCACAGGCTTCATAGGTAGAAAATGGTTCCAGAGAAAACTGTTGACAGTGAGGTCTGTGGGTTATCCACAGCAACCGGGACATTGTTCCTGGAAAGACACATCGCTGTTGAAGATTTTAAATAAAGTTCCTCATTGCTGCGAGCACCGCAAACTAAATTCCATTCGTGGCAGCAGAAATCAAACGGATGCCTAAAAACCTGGATAAATTAAACCACAATCCCAGGGTGTACCTCATCAGCTGCCATGGGATCTGTGGAAAGCTTTTGTAATTTGAAAAAATAAAACTAATGATATGGCAAAAGTAAAACTAATTCAGGTCAGGATGATCTTTTATATTAATTTCATAACATCTGATAAACTATGACAACTCCACCCTGCCTGAGTCAGTTGTACCACCACATGCTGTGATTGACACTGTGCAAAAACTAGATAGCAAGTAGAAAGCGTAATGGAAAAATAGTTCAGACTTCCAGCCTCAGCTTCAGCCTCTCCAAGTGATAGTAGCACGATTGCAAAAAAAAAAAAAAAGATACAGACCAAGTCTAAACATTGACAATGCCAGAATCATCATGTCTTATATAAAAAAGAATAAATGATCAGGGCTCAAAAGCATCCAGTGTAAAAAAAAAAAAAAAAAATGAAAGTGACACATTTGGAACATGAAGAGTTGTGTAGATTTATTTTGTGGAAAGATCCCTTTGCTTGTCTGCGTCTTCTCTTGTCACGCAGCTGCCACACTGACGACTGCCACTGCCAACTACGCTCTTACCACTCCTTTCTCTTCTTGTTTGTTTCTTGACAGCATCACTCTGGATCATGGAAGTACAGTAAATCTCCAGAATGCATTCACAATGGAGCCAAAGTCCCATAAAAATGCCTCAGACCTCATTGAGTGTATCGTGTTACTCTGGTAGATAGAGCGCCGTGATTGAAAGACATACTTCCATTTTCAAAGACACAAAGCATTTTTTTTTTCCCGAGGACTGGTTTCAGTCTCTTATAAATCACGAGTATTGCTCTAAGTGATGGAAAGCCACTGCTCAACCTGGCTTATTCTGAGTTATGGGGCGACATAATGAATCTAGCAGAGGGTGAAACAAAGGGCATAACTTCTACAAAGTTGTTATTTTTCCCGGTAGGTGCACTGCAGCTTCAGGACAAAAACAAATCCATTTGGAAATTTTACTGCTTTGACTGTGTTATAGTGCTTGGAGGGTGTCCATGAAAAACCAGGAGATATCTAAGAAATCATTCACGTGTGGTTTTACCTCTTCAGACATAATATTGGCAGTGAGCTGTCACGTGTTTTAAGTATAATCTTCGACCGCTCTTCTCTTTCCTGCTGGAGCAAAAACAAGGTAATAAAGATTGAACAAGACGTTTTGTTTTTGTTTTTCTTGTTTTTTGTCATCATCGTTTGTGCTTTTGTGTCTCTGAAAAACAGATGATGTTTGTGTTACAGTCATTTCTTGTTTATTCTAACACATGGCGGTTTGAAGTTTGAAAGCACTGAAACCAAACTTTGAAATTTTGTTTACTGATTTTCCAACACTGGTTAAAAAAAACATTTGAACACAGTGGCACCAGACTGTATCCACTGTTTGACTTAGTAAGTGAGCAGTACATCATCTACATGTATTTGTTGATCACATTTTTGAGCCAGTCTCAGAGGAAATGAACTCCTCTGTGGCCTGTAAAGTCACTCTGTGCGAGAGGCTATCTGCGCCTGAGCTCAAATGTTCTGCTCAGCTTTGATTTTGTGTGGATTTTTTTTTTTTTTTGTTTTGGCACATCAAAGGGCCCATGTAGACTTCTGTGTAGTCTGGGTCTGTCACTCAGAGCAAAGAGATGAAAGGTTGGGTTACATAAGACCGTAAGACCGAGAGGCTGTTTATGTGTGTGTGCGCCTGGAGAACCTCACTGATTCTAGGACCTTCTAATGGAGCAGGACTGCGCTGCGACCACGGAGGAGTCCGCTGCCAGGTCCTATACTGTAAAAGCAAAAACCCCGTCATCGGAGCCGTGAAGGATAAGACAAACAGCTCACTGGCTGGCTAATACTATCATTTACAGTGATTTACATCCCGTACGTGAGCATTTTACACAGCTGATTGCTTGTTGACTTCCTTTTCCATCTTGTATGGTTATTTTAATGCTTGAGGAGGTACGTGCACGCTTGACGGGGCTTTAAAGTGACCAGATATTATCATGCTGACGGTTGGAGCGTGCAGGCTTCTCATAGCTGTGGTGCTCGGGCTAGAAAATGGAGGATGAGAGAATGAAGCTGTTTGTTGAGAAAGGGCAAACCCCTCACATTGCATTTTTTTTTACAACCTCCTAAATGTCAAACTATGGAAAGGCCGTTGTATTTTATGAATGGGTGTGCACCGCATTGTGTGTGATTGTTCCGTTAGTGAACTTGTTTGCTCACTGTCAAGGTTACCATTTTCTGTGGAGCAGTACCCATTGTTGCCAGAACCTTGACCAAAGGATGAGGTGTACAATAACTGTCTCACAAAGTAGCCAACACATCAGACCTTGTGTCTTGCCCTGCTAAATATGTCGAAGACACACTTGGTGATCAAAATGTAAACTAACAAGCGCTCACCAAAATTCAAAACACAGGATTTAAACCTGCTATAAATCCCAGCTCGATTTACAGTAGAGGACTTTACAGGCCTCTCAGTCGAGCGATGGGACCCTACATGAATCATCAAAGTTGTAACAGTTTCAGTTGAAAGATTTCTGTCTGTGCTTTTCTCACTGGTTTGGAGAGAGGGTGGGGCTCAGTTAGAAAGAAGGGATTTTCAGGATTTAGCAACATTACAGCAATATTTGAGTCAAAACGTGACGACAGCAGGGGGGTTGTTTGTCAATATTGGTCAGTCAAATGTGATCAAACCTTGCCCACACAGCGCGGATGAAGCAGATTAGCTGAGACTTTGCATGTTAGACTGTTCATGAATAACACCTAAGCTTCAACTTTGACTGTTGCTCGTTGAGTCTTTAACATTTCATGTTATAGTTGAAGTTTTCAGGGACGTTAAACACAGAGACAATCACCAGAAAACACCTTAACATAAGTTTAATATACAAGTCTGTTTTATTTAACACATAATTTAATAAACAGCAAAATAGTCCTTTATTTCCCATTATATTAAGTTAATAAACATTAAAAAACATTTTTAACAGGAACAACTTTCTGCTGAAGAAATGTGGCCTGTGTATTATCGTCATTACTCAGGACTTTATATCTACTAACTAATTCTACTGTTGCTGAATTTTTTAGATTTTAATGCAAGTAATTTTCCATGCACCTCCACTGCATATCCACAGATAACCTAAACACCTCAGCACATGAAACTAGTGAGTGGGGGGGGGCAGTCAAAATTTTACAGACTAAACTCCCTTATAAAAAGGCGACAGGAGCAGTAACTCCACTGTTGTGTTTGTTTAGACCTAAGCAGCACTGTGGGAAAACACTCCGCAAAACAACACTGCTGTCCAGACAGGCCCATAGCACTGGCGTCTGAAACCCACTGTTTTCCTAATGTCTTCACTCACAGCGTGACACAACTCAATGACCTCCACTGACACAGTAAATTACACCTGAATTATCAATTTGGCTCTTATACTGAGCCCCTTGCCTCAGTTTGTGCGGCAGCAATTTGTCACAGCGACACGCTGGGTTTCTCTGGGCTCCTCAGTCCTGGGGCAGAGAGCCCTAACAGAGGCAGAGGGAACGTGTGTGTGTGTGTGTGTGTGTGTGTGTGTGTGTGTGGGGGGGGGCTGGGGGGGGGGTGTTGTTGACTTGGCTCTCCTGCAATGTGTTCACCAAAAATCAGTGACAGAGCTGCGCTGATGTATTTGGTGACTCCCAAGAAAGTGGAAAACGGGTTTACAAGGCCTGTGGGAGGACACAGTGGCTGGTAATTAGACAGCGTAAAAATCCTCAGCCTCTACCAGCCCCTTAGGCAGTGAATAGGAGCTAAAGTAAACCAAACCTGACTGTGAAATTGCATTAGACGTCTGTGCTTAATGGAAAGTGAAAAAAATAGACAAAACCCATTTTTTGCAATTATGAGCGTTTCCATTCCCCCCACACTTCCTCAGCTCTTTGCATCGCCACTCCTGCTCCTCCTCTTTTCCGCTACAGCGCAGTATATCTCCATTATGGTGTTGCCTCTGTTTTAGGACACTAACAGAAACAGGATGTGCAGGACTGCGGTTTGAACATGTTTCTGTCTCTTGTTTTCCCACAGATGCTCCCCCGCTCAGAATGGGACCACAAGAGAGGCTCCCGAGGATCACAGGTTAGCACCGTCCACAGAAAAAGAGACACACCAGTAATAACAATAATGATAAACAGCTGACAGGAAAACACACACACTCACAGCTAGGATCTCTGTCAATCGCCTACACACACCTTATAAATGACGCAAATAGCAAAAATCCCACCACTAATAGGGCCTGCTCACCCACTCATTTTAGCCGTGGTTAAACAGCATGTCCAGAGGTGTCACTTCCCACCACAATCCTCGTTGTCCTCTGTTAGTGTAAAGGACGCAGGCCTGTGAGATGGCTGTAAGGCGCTGCACAAGCCATTAAAGGCTGGGGAATTGCAACTAGAAGGACTCGTCACAGGAGATGCAGCTTGTAGACACATACAGCCACAAACCCAGAGATTACCTGTGTGTGTGTGTGTGTGTGTGTGTGTGTGTGTGTGTGTGTGTGTGTGTGTGTGTGTGTGTGTGTGTGTGTGTGTGTGTTTGGGAATTGATGTATTGAGCAGCTACAGAGCCACAGGGCAGGACAATGCCCTTGGCTTTGCAATGACCATATACAGTATGTGTGTGTTCTGGTCTGCATGCTCTCCTATCAGGAGGATATCCTTTAGAAATGAATAGACTGTGTGTCTGTGCTGACAATGTACAGTATGCTTGGGTAGCAACGAATACACCGCAAAGTTGTGTTTGGAGGGAAAATTAGGGGATTTTTCATGAATAGTGAGCATAACTGTGCAGTTCAGGATTGGGCTTGAAATCAAATTATACACTGTATAATTTCATATAGTTGTGTATCTGTTCCTCACAGTATCATCCCCTCAGAGTGGAGAAATGTTCAAATAGCATGTTAATCTTTTGAAATATTGTCTCAGTCTCAAATCAATTTGTTATGTGGGGTTAGTAGGCAAGCACATATTTTTTGATTGATGCATTCCCTAAGCTGCCATTTAAACTCAGTGGTCAGTTCAGTCTTTTTTTATTTGGACTGGTGCTATGCATTCGTCAGTGGAATCCTGTAACAGTCCAGAGACTGACAGGACGTGTAAGAAGTCGAGGCTTATATTGGCATCTCTCTCCATCTCGTGGCTGTTTTCCCTCGGCTCGGCTCTCCCCCGCTCTCAGGTTGACGGTCAGAGAGGCTGGTAGCGCTTCCCTGAGCCATGGCACCTCGTAGCGTGCGTAAATCACACACTGGGCTCTTTAGCCAGTGACCAGAGCGCTTGATTGATCTCCACTGTGTTGCGTTCGCCAACATGCGCACATTAGCAGGCTCAATTTCCAAACCGCATTTTTTTTTTTTTTTTTTTCCTGTCCAAAGCTTGTGGTGGATGTTTTAGCTTAGGAATTGACAGTGAAGTTATGTATGGAAAGAGCTATTTAAATATTTGTATTCGACTTGAAAACACATTGGTTTTGGAACATTACCCGTGGAGATTATCGGAGAAAAGAGTGTTTGTAGGCCCGGATCTTGTGACTGTTATTCTAAATTACAGAAAGGCTGGAGGAGTGGCGTGTCAAGCAGACAAGTCCAGACACTGCAGTCATGTTGAAGATTTCTCAAAATCACTGTAGCACTTCAAACATTTCAGATTTGTGTTTCTTAAACTGCGGGTTTGGTAGTTGAAAAAGGTCATTGCCCTTTCTCTGGTTGGTCCTATCATGACAGTGAAGTAATGGGTCCTGTGACAAGACTAAATTTAAAACATTTTACTACCTGCACTTTTGACTGTCATCTGCCCAGATCATAATTGGATTTGCCACAAATGATACAGAGACCATAGCAATTTTCAAGCTGTTACTTTTTCTGACATGGAACAGTAACATGCCTCTGAGCTGGTGCCATTGCTCTGAGAGAAACTGAGGAACTTGGTTTTATTTATAGTATGCATATTCAGTTTGCAAGATTTTTAAAAACTCATGACTGTGTCCGCTGCACTGCTGATGATGGATATATGTTTAACCACTTGCATCATGTGGTAAATCATCGCTCACTCGTCGCTCAGCATAAGCCATCTGTTTTACCTCATGCATCTCTTTTGTTTGCTCTGTTCTTCATTTCTTGCTTCTGCCTCTACCAGTCTGTGTGTCTGTTCCTCTACCTCTGTTTTTTTTTTTTTTTTTTTTAATCTTCATTGGCTCCTTTGCTGGAATCAAACACCCTGAAATATGTGGAAGGAAAAACAAGCCTCTGCTTGGAGATGAGATGGCTGCATGTTAGGGGTCAATTGGCCTGACCTTTTCCAGTAAATCTTTAATGAGGCAGTTATTCTTTTTTGTTTTGTTTTGACCACCCCCCCACCCCCCACATCCTATGTCCCCCACATCCCTCAACACACCCCCCCTCTTTTAATAAAATATGTAATAGCATGTAATTGTATCCTGGCTGCAGCTGAGGACCTGGCTCAGCACAGCTTCAGTCTTAGCTGACGGAGGGGTTGAGAGGAGAGTTGGGTCGCGGTGGGGGTGAGGGCTGGTTTGGAAGTGCGAAGTGTAACACTGCTGGGCGTAGTTTTGGCTGCAGGAGCTGAGGCAGAGAGCGAGGAGTGTCTCAGTGGAGTTTTGAGTTACGGTTCTGCTGTGATTCACACTGTATCACTGCTCTGTTATTCTAAGTAGAGAACATCACCATCTCCCAGGCTCCTCTTCAACTAATCCATCTCGACAGATGTAATCAGGGCCATTAAACTAACTGCGCTGCCACTGAAATAGAAAACTGCACGGTAATGATTTTTCAAACATGCTGAGAGTTCTGTGTAAATGAAATCAACCTGAGAAAAAATAATGGTTTTAAAAAAATAGTTTCTTGCTCAGCATTTCTCAGAGTGTGAGGCTTTGTGCGTGGGGTTAATTGCAAAGCCAGCACCACAGTGTGTGTATCTCTGTGCCTTAAGTAGAGCCAGAGTTGCTTACATTATTGAAATGTGTTTACTAAGAGAATCAAATACCTTTCTTTCTCTAGTAGGCCCCTGAGGCATCCCAGCTCTCCTCTGGGATACATTATATTCTCACCATTGCACAATTTCAAGAAGCTCACATATCACTGTCATTTTACTAGAGGCTTAGGGGACTGTATGTTTATATGAGGGAGTCAAGGGTTAAAAGTGCATGAAGACAACCGTCTCAGAAATCACAAATATGTGACCCTGCTCTCTGTGTATCCCATTAATAATCGTCATTTGACAGAGGGATCTGTCTGTTGTTGTTTGTTGCACCAAATGCACTTCATCTGTCTTCAGCAGAGTTATTGGAAAAAACAAAAAAACATGGACACAGCAAGAACATCAACAATCATATTTCCATCGCTCAGCGTTGTTGCAACCATTGATGGCGTTGCTTGAAGTAAACGATGTTTCATATGAGAAATGGAAATTTTGCACATGTATCTGATGTTTAAAGAGACAGGTCTAAAAATAGTGGATGCATGTATAAGCACTAGCATTTAGCAAATATTTTTCAACATTATTTATTTTGAACTTTAGGGATGAGTGCAGTTTGATTTAGTCATTCATCAAAAAACACATTGAAAATAAGCTTTTATATAAAATGTTTCAAGTCAAATCTCCATCTAGCTCGTAAAATATCCAGATTAATGCAGCACTAAGAATTATTTCTAGATATTATCTGGTCCATTTTTGGTGCACATTACTGCAGCTAAAGCTTCAGACACAGCTGAGTCGGACCTTGAGTACAGAGAGGGACAAACAGCTTTTCACTCTTCAGGAGCGGTCGCTGGTTTGTTTTGACTGGCCCTCGGTTGAGTTTACATGAACTGCTGCGCGGGTGTTAATCTATGGCATGTCTATTGACGTACTCTTCCAAACTGTGTTCACACAGGCAATTAAGAACATTGATCATGTGCACTGTTGTTAGTCATAGTAAAATGTCATAACAGAACGTCCGTGCATGGTTTAGTATGTGAATTGGCTTGTTGAGGAGTCATAAAAACTGTTTATTGATGCTTGTATTCACTTTTATCAAATGCAGCAACAAAAGCTGGAGGCTTGTGAACAGATGTCGCACAGGTTCGTGGTAGTTTTGTGACCGAAGGTGCTGGCACGGGGGCCTGGTTAGGAGTGTGCCTCCTGCCAGTTAAATGCAAAACAATTGGCCACAAAAACACCAAAGGGTGCAAGCAGGAAAAAAATCCACACGTTCCAAAAAATACTACAAGATCACTACAGTAAATCTGTAGCAAAAACAGGCTTCTGCGTTTTAAAAATGGAATACATATATTACCCAGCTGTTGAGGTGGCTTTGAGCAAGGTATTAAACTGCTATGAAACTATAGTTTACATTCACTTGTACTTCCCCAAAAGCACCAGTGCTGATGCTAAAATGCAACATATGTAGTGTAGTGTTGTTTTATGACTGTTTCATTTATTTAAAGCACTAATTTTGCTTTTTTTTTTAATTATTTGGTTTGCTGCTGAGAGTTGAGAGATGAAAAGATCAATATCACAGGTAAAAATGAAAGTGCTCCAGCCATCTAAAGGTTTTCACAAACAAGATACAGTGTGTTAATTAGTGCGCTTTCAAGGTGCTGTTGGGTGGATTTTGTTACAGAGCCAGCCCAGATGTTTTCCCCTGTCTTCAGTCTGTGTGCTAAGTTAACTGGTTGCGAGTGGTAGCCTCATATTTACCATAAAGACATGTGTGGTATTTCCTTATCTAACTCTCGGCAAGAAAGCAAATAAACATATTTCCTAACATGTCAAAGTATTGCTTCAACACCTTCTCTGTGTTCCTGGGTCAAGATGATAGTTTAGACATCTTTTCAGTGTCCAAAAAGTTTTATAGTTGTGTCCAGCATTTGTAAGAATTATCTACCTATAACCTAAATTTTTGCAAAACATGCTCAAAAATATAACTTAAAAAGAAAAACCTCACAGTCATCCAAAATCAAACATCAAAAGGCAGCATAAATTCAGCAGAGCAGCTCATCCAGTGTGCCAGTCATTCATCTGGCTGAATGAAGACTTGTCAGTTTGTCACTCTCCCAACATGCAGGCCTGCTGCTGCCAGCTGTTTTCATGGCCGCCGTCTGTGTGTATGTTGCCTAGAAAACCAAAGATCGATCCATCTTACTTGGAGACGGAGAAATGATGAATCATTTTCAAAACAAGAAAGTTGTTGTTTGGACGATCAAAGAGACAACTTTTTCTTTTTGCTCTGTAATTTTAGAAAGAAGTAGTTACTCACATATCTCCTCCACGCAGCACTCTGAGGTGCTGGATCCTAGACTAACTCTGAAGAGCGTATTTCTCAGAAAAGTTTCTACAGAGAGGAGGGTGAGCCAGTGGCAGACAGTTGTTGACAGTTCCCAGATGTGAATGTGTGTTAATATGATTGTGGTGTAGGGCAGCAGTAAAAAGAGCTTGTTGAGGAACCATTTGTAATTAAACACATATACAGCCTCTCTGGAAAGTTGAAATACATTGATTTTGATCACAGTGTTTAATGGACTTTACAAACGCTACAGATGCATCCAAGGTAGGAAAATCCGCCATCATACTTCCAGAGAAATATTAAGAATTTTGAAACACACCATCATAACATCTGTCCAACAGCTCTTTCCTGCGATACTCACAGCGCTGTTTCCCAGACAGGGGTCACTGTGTGAGGCTCGTGTGAGAAGATGAAGCCTGCTGCTACAGAGGTGGCCATGGCTGATGAATGAAACTGATCATCTAACCTGACAGGAAGTGCTTATATAACCTAATGATATTACGTAACTTATTCTCAGTATGATCCATTAGAGGATGTCCATTGATGATTCTTAAGTTTTCAGGAACACCAGGAGGTAACTTGCAGCCAAGACTCAGTCTTTAAGGGACACATAAAACCTTGAGCCAGGGATGGTCATTGTTCAGCGCTTTACATTCTTTATCTTTCCCTGTTGTCAGCTTTGTTTAACAGCTCAACGCTCTAACTCTTCATCACACAAAAACCCTGTAGAGAAGTTCAGAGACACGATTTTTAAAGGTAGATACTTTAACAGCACATTCTTTCTAATGCAGGATGTAATGGCTTGTATATTGTAGCAAACAGGTATTGCTACTTTTTCAACAAGAATAGGACGCACTCAGCAGAAGCAAGAGCCCCACTGTGTCCAGAAGCGCACATCTCAATTGCTACCCATGCACCTGGAGCCTTTCACCACTCTTTATTTTTCAAGTCAGGTTTTGGGCATTAAGTGGATTGTTGGCGGTGCAAAATCCAACCCAACACATTCATCATTCCCTCCCCTTTTACGGCCACCTAGGACCTGTTTTCGAGTTAGTTAAGCTTAGTGACACAATTCTCATCCTCAGCAAAGTGTGTTTGAATGCTCAGGATGATGCCGTTTGTATTTGTTTATGCGCCAGTGTCACTGTCTATTTTCGTGTCAGCCTTATGTTTTTACTTGGCTGTGTGAGAACTAGGGCTAAGGTTTTTTGAAGTTGAAGATGACGTTGTGTGTGCACGCACATGTACTTGGAGATGCTCAGACACACTGAGCATCACTCTCGTGTCTGTCCAGCCAGATGTTCTCCAGCAGCCATATTCTCCTTTAACCTCTGTTTAGCAAACTCCTAAATCAGCCTGTAAATGAGCTGAGAGACAGGTGTTTACATCTCATCCTCCCAGCATGCATTAGAGCAAAGTATAGGAAAGAGGGGAGGGGGAAGTAGAGGAGATGATGCAGAGGAGGGGAGCACAATAGTCATCTGTCCAGTAATGTTCCATTAGACGTCCCACAGGATGTCTTCAATAGGAAAATTATATAAATACAGTGACTTATCTGATATGACTGGGAAAATAAAATACAAAAACCTTCATTGTTTGCCCCAAGTGAAAGGTGAGGTGTTCACACGTGCTGTTCAAGTCACCCTCTCGCCACTTAGCCAGTGTAAACAGAATAATTCTGGGTGCCTGGCAGCTGGTGTCAAAGTGAATGGGACATTGGGGGAGAAAAATCTGATAACATTCTTTGGGGAAAACAGGGAATCCGTGGGCTTATTAGATAAATTTTGCTGGCAGCCAAGACTGACCTGTGTTTAGTTGTGGTTGCTCAACTGCTCTAGGCACAGCAATTAGGGGTGGGTTGTGAACTTTTCACTTTACCCTGTGAAAACAAGGCCGGCTCACACTACATCGGTGCCTTCAAAGCTGCAGGGCAGATGCTCAGGAACAGACGAGGGCTTTTGGCCATCTGAGAGGTCAGGAGTGAGGAAGTCAAAGGTCGGATTCTTGCTGAGACATTGCTAATGAGTCCATTCATTAAGCATCAAGTAATCACAGCTGTGCTGAACATGTTTCAGCCTGATGTTGTTGTTGAGATCTTTACAAGGCTGCTAGTATGTCAACTCCTACTACTGTGGAGAACCACTCCCTGCTCCTCCTCGTGCGTTTGCTTTCTCTGAGCGAAAAGCAGCCATATAAGGTATAGAATAAAACCTTTGATGTGCTGTAAGGGTTGTAAGTGTGCATGTTTGTGTGTGCGTAGCTTGGTGTGATACCACAACTATAATAGACTTTATGAAGCTCGGCAGAATCCCAGTCTGACAATATGATTAAATAGATCTCCTGTAATAGTGGTCCAAAATCAATTGTCTATTGTTTTATTTTCATATTGTTGTTATTGTTGTTTGGGTATTGTCTACCGTTATCATTTGTTTAATTTTGCGTCATGTGAGCTAAGTGCACTTTTGAAACATGATTTGGTTATGGCTGTGAGCGCTGCCAGTGTCCTCATATAAAACATTCTCTATTATCATGGGACAAAGCCCCTGTCCAATGTTAATTTTTGTGCTCTACAATTGACCCCCCACATTATATTTGCATGCAAACTGCGGCAGCTTTCAAATCAGTCTTTGTTGTATCTGTTGTAGTTGTTGCTGTGATATTTTATGAGTGAAGAAAGAACAGTGGTGAAAGAAGGATCCAGGTTACATATGGCAAAGTGATGATAATCAATGACAAGTACAAATCCTGCCTCAAGAATTCTTTATAAAGTGCATTAGAATTATCAACAAAATGTAAATACACTCATCTCAAAAGTAAAAGGCAGAATCGTCCCCATCAGTGTTATGATTTCATTTATTATGATATCTGACCATTTTATATTACTGATACATTAATGTGTAATTTGCATTTAAAGAGAAAAGCTGTCCCACTCCACCTGTTTCCTGTGCACATCTGATCATAGTCAGTATCACCGAAGAGTGCAGTTAGTTTTGGTGAGAAATGTGTTCTGTTGCACCTGTAATCACAGCTGACAATGACGTCACCCTGGAGTATACGTCTATATCACTGCAGCAAGTTGAGAGGTTAAACCAGTGGAAGTCAGCAAAAACAAGATTTGAGCTGCTGTTAAGTTGCTCTTTAGTGCTGAAGCTAGTCGGTTAACCCAGTGTTAACTATTTTGTACATTGTTGTGTAATTGAATGTACTGAATAGACATGTGTCATGTTTTAGTGCTGTAGAGAAATAAGCCATATAAAGTAGCATTAGATTAAAATACGTGCATCTTGCATCTTTCTGTCTGCCTTTGCGAAGAGGAATAATCTTGGCAAATGAAATACTCTTGGCGATGAGATGTCTCTCCAAAATGTTGACATTACACAGTTCAGGTGGAATCTCAACTCTTTTTTTTTTTTGACCACTCTGGTGCAGCGCAACATGCTGTAAATACTACACTGATATATTATCATCTTAAAAACTGTGATGGCAAATGTGTTAACTAAAAAGCTGCCTGTTTACACATCGAATAGACACAGAATAACATTTGTATTCATTTGAAATTGCGTTTTGGTGATTTTGATTTAAATCCAATATTGATTCCACCCAACTCCTGAGGATAATATGTGGCTCTCAAGCTGCTAAATGCTCCACTGTGTTCACTAGCTAATCACTAACTTTGACAAACTGAGGTTTTGGTGCTGGGCAGGTATGAGTTTATCAGAGATTTCAGTCACTGAAAACAGCTGCAGCCACAATTAACACTGATGAGAGCAGTGACACTAATACTAGTATGACCCATTGTTTACATTAAAATATTGGTTGGTGCAACTTTAACTTGAGAACAAACACCTCAGAACTGCACTTAACAGTAGTATTCGAGTGCATTTAATAAGTTGATTTCAACCAATGAGAAAAATAAAGTTGTTAATGCAAAAACATAAACTACTGTATAACTTCAGCGTAGTTGGACTCTGTAGGATAAACAACACAAGTTATGCCAATGTTACCAATGTCACAGGAGAGCTGCTGACATAGTTCAGACCTAGCCATTAGCATCAAGCCACATTAGCCGCAGCAGCAGCAGTGATGTTTAATTCTTGTTTCTCTGTCTCCCTCTCACCCCACAGTCATCAGGCACCACTGTCATGGTGGACATAGCAGTGATGGGAGAAGCTCATGGACTAATCACAGACCTGCTGGCTGACCCCTCCCTGCCCCCCAACACCTGCACCTCACTGCGGGCCGTCAGCAACCTCCTAACCACCCAGCTCACCTTCCAGCCGCTGCACCGGCCACGCCCTGCTCCCCTGCTTAACCCCGGCGATGCCTACACCTGCTCCGACTCAGAGGAGGGACCTGAGAAAGGAGAGAAGACATCCATCCACAAGGTAAAGAGATGAATGAAGCCCAGGTGTCATGATTTACACTGTACTGGTCAGATGTGCAGCACAAGGAAGCCTACATGAAAGTGGGGATGTTTCACTCAAATATCAAAAGTCAGGATAGTTAATCAAAAGTAGTCAAGGCCCAGACACAAAACAATTTTATTTGGAAACGGCTGAAGTAATCCTTAGATGGAAATGCTGCCCACCTTATTAAGGCCAAATGATTTATACACCACACAACGCTCCTCACACATGTTAATCTTTTAGCCCATGTTTCAGCTAATGAGTGTTTCCTGCTCTCAGAGCTTTTAGCATCAAATGAAGGAGAGTATTTTCATAGAGTTGAGCGAAGAAAAATAGAGCACGTCTACTGCTCGGAGCACTGTTCTCTCTTTCATAGCCACAGCTGTGTCAACATGACAGATGTGCAGAGCCAGACAGTGTATGTGTGTGTGTGTGTGTGTGTGTGTGTGTGTGTGTGTGTGTGTGTGTGTGTGTGTGTGTGTGTGTGTGTGTATGTATGTGTGTGAATCGAGTAGAAGAGAAGAGGCAACATGAAGGTGAACACATCTTTCAAAGGGTAACAAAGAGGGGATGAAACTGGCCCCCCACAGCTGTGGATACAGCTATTCATCTGAGGAGGATACCTATTCCTGGCTGAGTTGGAAGTTGGTGTGTGGTCGACGGCTGCCATGCCATCTCTGCCAGTCTGACAGGTGTATTTTTACTTCGGCTGAACTTTTGTAAAAGTAGCTAAGACAAACTGGGCCTGTGGAGTGGCCAGCGAGGCTGCACTCATTACAACTCCCCGGAGACGACGTGCCCAGCTCTAACTGCCCGTGAGGAGAATAGCAGTGGGAGTGAAGGCGGTTAGTGGAGGAGTGGAAAGTCCTGTGCTTGCTTTTCTGCCTGCTGGCTAAGAGTTTGATGTCCATCGTGGTGCATACTGATGCCTTTCAAGCACTTCTCCAAAACTCATTCATTGTCCAGCACAGGGCACGTTCTCTGTGCTGCAGAAATGACATTGCTGTACAAACATGCAATGCTGTACGATCAAAAAACATGAATGAGAAAACACACAAGTATCTGTAAAGTGTTTGAAGTTACATTGAGCTCACTTTCCTCATTTAAACAGTTATAGAAATAAATTAAATATTTCTACTTTAAATTTGAATCAACATTGGCAGCAGCAGGCAGCAGCTGTAATTTTTTATTTATTTCATTTTTTTGTGAGGATGGCCTGGTTTTGCCAGGCAACTGCCGATGGTGATGTGTGTGTGTTTCTGTGTCACGGTTGCTTCTGCTTTTGGTGTGTGTCTCCAGGGCTTTTATTAAAGAATGGAACAATGGAGCTGCAAAGTCATACTACAGTACAAATATTCACATATATACACCCAGTTTTAGCATACTCTGAACAAAACATATTGTAATACATTTTTTATCGCACCATCATATGCAGGATTTTTTTTGGGGGGAGAACCTTGCTCTGTGGATCTGCATATATCCAGCTTTGTGGTGCATAAATGTGTAATTGCTTGGTCTGTGTGTGTTCATATGCACTGATTGTGGGGGGCTTTTTTGTATGTGTGTTAATCTGCAACTGAATTCAGCACATTTTAATATCAAAATCATTTTCTGTCTTTATTGGGTTTAAATAAAAGGTCATGGTTATGGAGCCAAAGTGAATGTAAGTCAGTGAAATGTCCCCCAGAGTGACCTAAACCAACACCCTTGTTGTGTGAGTACGAGTGTGTGTGCATGCACTCAGTATATGACGCCTCTCTGTGAATGGGCTCATTCAGGATTCTGAGGCGATCTTTACTAGGTCACCCTGCAGAAGACTGAGCGAGAGAGAGAGCCTGCCATGTTTATAGCGCTGCTGTGCCAAGCTGCTGCATGGCACCGAACAGATGGAGGCATCACGAGGGCACAGGCCACTGGGAATCCCAGAGAAAGAGCAAAGAAAAGACAGATATGAATCTGTGCAATGCAATACTGACATTGCATCTAATATTGTAGCATTCCCGGCACAGCTGCCTGCCAATGTCCTCCAGTCAGTGATGGCCGCAGTGTTGATTCTCTGTGAATGAAGTGAAAAAAAAAAATGTCCAATCAAGAAAGATTTTCCAAGTTATATCATCTGCATCATTTGTTTCATCTCGGGCAGATGCAGGAAAAACAACTGTCCCATCTAGATGATCCATTTGACTGGAGACAAAGTGAATAAGCGTTTACTTTATCTTACAGGTGGGAGTGCTCTTAGAGCTTTTATCTAAATGCAAACACAATTACAGCCATGTTTTTTTTTTGACTCCCGCACTTAACCATGGGTGAAGATTGTCTTCATTTCCAATACAGTGATGAGAAGGGTTTTCCAGTAGTGGTAACTGTGTGTGTATATATTTTCTTGTGTCTGTGTGTGTGTGTGTGTGTGTGTGTGTGCAGCGTGTGAGGCGGAGTCTCCACCCTGGTCTTCTGAGGAGGATCTCTTCCACGTGGACCACCACCACCTCTGCCACAGGCCTGCCCACCATCGAGCCCGGGCCTGTCCGAAGAGACCGCAGCGCCAGCATCAAACCGTACCATGAAACACTCACCTGCAGGTACCTGAGCAACAGCCCAGCACATATCTCCTCTTTCCTCAGCCCCTTACTTTTGTTCAAGTTGTAGATTTAGCAAAAGCAGCCCCAGCTTCACTTTATTGTTTGCTTGCTGTATAATTTCTATGTTTGAAGCAAAGCCCTAGATTTTCAATGTTTCACTACTAATTATTATGAATGTGTTACAAACGCTTACAATCGATGCCACAGCATGACACATCTCTCTGAATGTCATGAGATGTAGTCCCAGCAGTGTGGCTGTAGTTCTACCAAAGACAGCAGTGTGAGTGAACAGTAATGGCACAGCAGATTGGAGAAGGATGTGTGTGCAAAGGAAGCCAGAATGGAAATATGCCCCACAGGCAAAAGCATTAACCTGAATAACTAAGACACACATCAACTCTGAACACATTAGTGCTGAAGATGAGGCATGAGGCCTACACAGAAGGATCATGGTTGTAGCATGGTTTTATGTAGATGTTTTGAAGATTTTTGAGCATTTTTGAAGGGAAAGGTGTTGTGGGATAGAGAGGGTTGCAGGTTATGTGCGAGTGCTAATGAGTGTCTATGTGCATGTGAGCGTGTATGTATGTGGTGGGGTTTGTGCCTGGATGAATTTGGTTTAGTAAAAACTGTTTAGAAAAGCTGATAGTTGCACTGTGTTCAGACAGGATTGAAACAGATGCAGTGAGTAAGTAGAAATATAAAGACATGACGGTCACACATTCTTGAAAACACAACAAATAACTGTGTTTGTTTCTGCTGTTTTTTTTTTTATTTTGCTAGTAAATCACACTGATGGATTAAATCTTGAATAAACACAGAGACTTAATTTATTAGAGTTGCTGTGATTACTAAGTGAACTATTTCAGCATAATTTACTGCGATCAGTCCAGAGATTGTATTCTTTACAATTACTTTATGATTACTGTGACGTTATGTTTTCATAATCCCAGAGCAGCTCAGGGGAAATAATGTTTTTTATGAATTTCAAAGAGGTAGAAACTGGAGATTCAGCTTGGAAATTTTCAGCTGTGCATGTTTGCGTGTACTTCAGTATGAGTTATCATGCATGCAATGTTTTTGTGATGCGGATGCACAAACAGTCCAGGCAGCACGTGCTCCCTGACTTTAAAATATTAACTATGCCTCAACAAGAAAGAGTCTCTTCATGTTTCATCTACTTTATTCAGCTTCTCCCCTGTTGAGTTAGTGTCATGGGCACAAAAGGCAAGGTAGATGTGTGTGGTGTGCCAAACCAACGGGTGCAGTTAGGAAATAGTGTGTGTGTGTGTGTGGGTGTGTGTGTGTGTGTGGGTGTGTGTGTGTGTGTGGGTGTGTGTGTGTGTGTGGGTGTGTGTGTGTGTGTGGGTGTGTGTGTGTGTGTGGGTGTGTGTGTGTGTGTGTGTGTGTGTGTGGTTGTTTTTCAAAGTTAATTTCATTTTCAAATGTTGCATAAGAACATTTGTCTGATCTCTAAACTGAAGCTTAATTATTCATGTGTAGAAGAACTTAAGAAAATATGTCTGGTGTCTGACTGAAAGATGCAGTGAAAACAACCGGCTTGGATTCAAATCATACAGTTTGAACCGACGATAACCTTTGTGTTGCTCAGTGGCATTTGTTTGTGACTTTGTGTGCACACATACAAAAGAACAACAGATGTGTCTGATTTCTTCCTCTCTGTATTTTCACTATAAGCTTTATGTCTGGAGCTTGAGATTTGAATCAGCTTGCTCATGTATTTACTGGACCAGTCAGCAAACGTTTAGATAAAAACTTTTACATCTAAAACGCAAGGTGTTTTAGATGTAAAATGAGGCGTGACTCTGCAGCTGCATGGCCTATTTCCCACCTCAGATTAATATGGAAACTAATTTTGGTGGTTAGGTTTGGAGAAATTCAATGTTTCCAAAAGAGTTGCCATGTTTTTCTGTTATTTTTATCTTTTTTGTTTAGAAATTAGAAGCGAATACCAGTCACAGGGCACCAAGTGGTACGTTTGTCCAATCAGGTGTACAGAGGGTTTATGTCATGAAGGCTACTGTTTTAATGTCCTGAGTATAGTTGGTACAGTTGATATATCTATACAGTTTATTTGAAATGCCTCAAGTTCTGAATCTGTGAATTTTAGTTGTGTGTAAGTAGACTATTTTTGGGAAGATTTGTTTCATGAAGCTATTCATTTATTATGGCTTTACTGTAAAACTGAACTGTTCCCATAAAAACATGTGGCTCTTGTCTAAGGTAATGGTTTAAGCCAAGCCGCCTGGACAAACTAAGTAGCCAGCCAGACATTGTCTGCAGCTCGTGTTATAGACACACCTACAGTATCTGCTCAGATTAAAGGTGCAGTCATTCTTCCGTTGGTTTTTACCTTATTGGCACGTCTAAGGGTTTCTTTCTAAATACTCATTAAAAAGGGCAGATCAGTGAGCTGCTGCATCCATCAGAACAGATCATGTAACACAGGAGCAAAACCAGCTTCAGTATCTGCACAATGTAATAATCTCAGCTTCTGTTAAAGTAATGTGCATGAAATATGAACGGACCCTTCTGCAGAAATCTGACCGGCCAAAAGTATGTGGACACATCTGTCCCCTCCTTTTTGTGCACTTTTGGCCTGGTGCTGTTTTTCATGGTTTCACCCTGATGTTTCAATTACAGCAAATCCTAATTTCACTACATGTAGTGATAATTTACACACTACTTTGCATCCAACTTTGTGGTAAACATTTGTCGAAGCATGACGCTGCCCAAACTGCACAAAGTGAGGTCCATAAAGATATTGTTGTAGAGTGTGAGGGGTTCTGGGTTTCCCTGAGCAGAAACCTGACCTTAACCGCATCAAACACCATTTGGATGAATTTGAATGCTGACTTATCGCGCAACACAGTGCCCAAACTCACTAATGCTCCTGTGGCTGAATGGGAGAATATCCCAGTAGTGTGGAAAGCTAAGCCAGAAGAGTGGTGGCTCATACAGTAGCGGATTCATGCTCATGGTTTTTTTGAATGAGATGTTTAACAATCACATGCTTGTCATGTTCAGGTGTTTGATCATCTACCCTTATGAAATCAGAAACTAAATATTTCTGTGAGACTGTGTACATGTGACCTGCTGTAGAGGACGAACTTCTCAGTCTTGCATAGCAAATTGTGAAAAAATTTGCATATTATCAATATGTGCATGGAGTACATTCTTTGTTGACCACTAAGAAAACACACCACTTGTGGATTCTGGTTCCCAAAACTTCCTTGAAGGGTAGACATGCTTTTGAAAGAGCTCTGTGTGACATGAACACACTCATACAAATGATATATGTAGGTAAAATTCTAAGATAAAATTGTGTTTTTGATTATTTATTAAATTCTGAACAATTAAATATAGATAACATGTGTAACTCATAAACTTGTTGCAAATTTTTGTTCAGAGAGTGGTCTGCAACACACTCTGTGGACAATGCAACTGTTACACTGTGTATCTGCTGGTTGATAAAAAAATCGGTTTGGTTTGGTTCGGTTGTCCAAATACTCACACAACAAAAAGACACATTTAATAGACCATGGGACCTGGACAGAACCTGGACATGTAGAGACAAACATTTAAAAAAGATGAAATAAAACAAATTATAAATTGCATTTTGCACAAACTGAGGCATGATACAGGATAAAAATACTAAAAGTTAATATAATTTATCTCCGTAGTGGTCCGAATCATGATGACAAAACAAAGACTTCTGCTTAAGTGAAAGTTGTGACATGCAGATTTAATCACAGTCGGTCTTTTTCTCATTATACAAATAATGCTAAAGTATTCCATAAATGAGTTTGTTTGTTTAACAGATTCCATATTACAGTTTGTTCATATTTTAATATTGACCAAATACACTGATCTACAACTAATGTCTTAATCCAGCCCTGAGTTATAAATTATATTGTTTACTTCACCGAGTGAGGCACTCAGGCACAAAAAAAAAAATCCCACACACAGTTTTGTTTTGTGTTGAGTCCTTTGAGGAACTGTTTGTGCTGCGTCTGTCAGTGGCTTGTTTGGGTCTGTTTCAGACAGTGTGATACTTGAACAAGTTCTGTAAATGTAAGCACACTGAGCAGCTTCTGTACACAAAGCCATGTCGCCTGGTCTTCAAGCTCAGCCCAGCCCAGCGGGAGGCCCCAGCTATGGCCACTTATGGTGGTGTGAGTATAAACAAACACCTGGGCCTCTCCCCAGTCACCAGAACCCCACAATTAACACACACATAGACACACACACACACACACGCTTAGACACACTGTCACAGCTGCTTCTTCTGGCACGGATAATACAGAAACAATTGGAGAGAACAGAGAGTCTCTGGGTTTAGTTTACTGCAGCTGAGAGGGCTCTCTTCTGTCTAACACTTCATTTAAATGTTGTTTTTCTGAAATGAGAAAGAGAGCTGCTGAGGCCTTAAACAGGGCCCATGCCTAAAGACTACTACTCACTGTTGTTGGGCTCAAACCTGTGATGATCCCTTAGCAAATGGCAATGTGCCAACACATTATCTCTCCAGTAGGCCTTAACAGAGCAATCATAAGTTTTAGGGGAGTAGAAGTGTGCTTTGTAATTTATGTACTGTAACCTGCATTTGTCTGTGTTATCCCTGTTGAGTCCCAGCCAAGACAGCAGGAACATACAAATTTATTTACAGATCAAACAAAACACCAATAACCATTCCTGCTATGTAATGAGTCCTCTCAGAAAAGTGAGAGACAGAGATTTTTGGGGAAGAGGGGAAGGAGGGAGAGAACACATGAAGGGGAGGTTGGGAGAAAATGAACACATGGCTTCAATTGCCTTCTCTCTGCTCCATCATCAAATCTGTACAATCTTAATTAGGACATTAGGCTTCTCTTTTTTCTCCCTCCTTTTTCCATCATGTCAGCTCTCAGTGACGTACAGTGTTAAGAAGGAATAACACCAACTTCAAAGCTACAATATCGGATTTTTATCGGACAGACCCTGTAAAAAAAGGGGCCGATTGAATACCTTCCATTTCCCTCGGCCCCAGCCACTGTGCTGTTATCTTCTTCACGTCATCTGGCTCGAGACTAGGTAGATTACTGGAAGCAGAAATAATGGCTGCTGTGTTTATCGTGGCTTGGACACTGTCCGTTTGGGCTCTGAACCAAAGGTAATCTGTCAACCTGCTGTGAGTGGTTGAGTATAAAATCTGGGAGTAAACTGCAGCAGAGGGGGAAGCAGGCAGAAACCAGTCCAGAGATTATTACATGGCTCGAAACATTAAGATAAGCAGCATAGGTGGAGGAGAGGCGGCGGGGCTGTTCTCAGAAAAAGCAGACAATGTGGCAATTTATACAGTATTTTCCTATTGAGGGATAATTAACTTGATTAAGGTTCATACTTAGGGGAAGAATGCCAAGGTGCGTTTGTTTTAGAGTTTGTGAGAACAGGAGAGATTTTCCACTCCAGAGACAGACTCGCAACCGACTGTTGTGCAACACTTGGACTATTCTTTTTTGAATTATGTATAACCAGGAAACCTATTTTGACCTTTGGCTTTTGCGATTTTAGTTTAGTAAAAAGTCACACAAAGCTACCCTGACCCATGAAATTATGTTCACTTACCACTAATTCACAACAAATTTTACAGCAGCAATACATTCAGAAAAAAAAGCTGATTTCATTTTACATCAACATAATGAGGAAACATTTATTTACTTAATACAAGTATCAAAGAACTTTTCTGGAGCTGAAAAGATTAGTCGATTAATCAACTAATTAATTAATTAAACAAAGAATTTCTGACTATTAATCGACCAAATGATTAATTGATTAATTGAGAAAATATTTTGCTAATAATTTATTCATCCATGATGAAATAACCATTAGTTACAACTCTAAATTTAAAAAATGTACTCTAAATTAAAAGAAACACGGTATCTGCTTGTAGCCACTAAAGTATAGTTAGTGTTATCATGGTTGCACTCACAGCACTTGGTTAAAGCTGAGTTTTGGTTATATGATGATAATAATAATTTAAAAAAACTCCACACTGACCACTATTTTTTCCTAATCTTAACCCAAGTGTTTTTGTTGCCTAAACCTAACCACACTTCTGGATGCAGGATGTTTCCCTCACAAACATATTTGCAGGCAGCAGTTACCTTCTTCCCAAAGGTATCATGCAAAACAAATGATGATGTCATCTCTAGGAGACAGGGTTGAAACAAAAACATACAGAAATGTGTATTTCGCCCTCATACTGTTGGTATAGCACAGTGTCACAGTTAAACTACAGTAACTACACTTCAGAAGTTTTTTTGTGATAAAAGCAGAGTCACTTTCTACCTGACTGACAGATTCCTCAAGTGAAAATGGTCGCCCTTCTTATTTACATTCTGTGCTGAAGCCTCAATGTTAGTAGCTGAGGTTATTCTGCTGCATTAGCAAGAATAGGAAGAATGTCTGCCAGTTCTTCAACTTTCATTAAAAGTAAACCTTTTAAGCCAAGTACTTCTGCCTGCCCAGACCCCCCTGACAATAATGTAGTAACTGTTCGCCCGCCAAACTATCAAACTATTTTATATTCCACACCTGCTAGGCATTACACACAGTGGTCCGACCTGGCCGTGCAAACACAACAGAACTTCCTTTGTTGGGGCCTCAGGTCCATTAGGTAGGGTGGGTACAGCTCGAAAGTGTTCAAGAAACAATTTATCAGAAGGAGATAGACACACTACAGGCCTTTGTGCTCCCTGTGACACCATGCTCTAACGGCAGGCATTTCCTGCTCCGAGAAGGCAGGTTTTACAACATTTAGGGAGAGGTATTTTAATTGGAACCACCTACAGCCTGACAGTGGCCTCAGTGGAGAAACATGGAAAAGCTGTTGAGAGCAGCTCGGGAGGCTCCCCGTGGTGTCACACAGCTAACTAACCGGCACAGGCCAGCTCAAGGCTCTTTCTGTAAAAGATAATATTTGTTGTTTGATTTATAAGCCAGTCAGTTAATGTGAATATTTTCATCTGTCTCTGAGGTTGTGGTGAGCAGCACGCTGTTCCTGTGGCTGACACTCGCCTGTCATAAATCTCAAAGAGGGTGGGCTCAATTGCTAATGAGTCATTTATAACAGCGCCAGTACCAGCAACTGTTTCACATTTGTTTGGTTGTGTATTCCCATTGCATTGTGTTAATGTTTGCATCCATTAAGTCCATTAATGTGAATTTTTCTTAAAGCATCTGTAGAACGTCTGCCTCATGTGGGGACAGCGCAGTAGGAATCCCATTAAGGTTTTTTGTTTTTTTCTTGACAACTTTGGCCGACTGGTTAGACATCAAAGACAGATGTAGTGAATGGCATTAGTCCCAATTCTTCAGTGCAGTGACAGACACCAGGGGCTTGCACATTTTGTTTTCTCCAAGCAAACATACATGTACTGGTCTGCATTTTTTCCCCCCAGTGTTTTCATTTAAACATTTTGTGTTGATTTTGAGGTATGGACTGGTTTTTAACTCCCTGCTCTGCCAACCAAAACCAGCTTTGTAGAATATGACATGACAAACACAAAACTTACTCACAAAATATTTCATTTCATATTATTCTACAATAACTAGAAAACATATTCTTGCATTGACAGTATATGTTGGGATACACATTTGGATCCAAATCTCACAGCAGAAGATAAAATCGATCCTGATAGGATGTTGTTTTTTGACATTTAACTGACTCTTTCAGTGTGGAGCCTGTAGCATAAGATTGAACATTTAATTCTTTAAAAATCATTGAAATTGATTAATTCTGACATATATATATATATATATATATATGCGGTAGTTGTAGAATCAACACAGCACCAGCTGCAAATATCACAGTATGACAACAGGGAATGTCATATGCTGTGGAGTTGAAGCATATAAGAAACATATCCTCCTTTGTGCTTTATCTTTAACTTCTAAAACTCCTCTTCTCTACAGCTGTGGGAGACCATACATCAAACTGAGCCATGGGGAGGGCTCTATAGACAAGGGAGACAGGATACCACGGTCAGGTATGCTCTCAGTCATTCTAACACTACCACCACTGTCTCCATGCAGCATGGGAAGAGTGGTTTTGGGCATACATACTGTATCACAGTGTTTTCTTTCCCCTCTGACCCTGCATCCATTACAACGTGCTGATATTGGAGCCTAATATATACAGTATATATATATATATATATATACAGAATTCTGTCTGTACTATACTGTATATGTGCATAAAACCCCAAACAAAGAAATGACTGTCCCAAGTTTTGTCTGTTTTGTTTTGGTGCTGTAGTGCAAATACAAGCAGGTATTTCCAATGTAGCTTGCATGTCTGGATCTCTTCTTTTCTTTGGTTCTCCATTCATACTTCAGGATAATAATCCTTTTCAGCTAAAGGTTCATCAGATTTTGGTGTCAGTAACTTAAAGCCAAGAATTTCTTAACACATTCACCAATTTGCAACAACCAATCAGTAAGAAATCCAGATGTTCCAGTTTCTCTGACGATACAGGCTCACAGACTATAATGCAATGCAGCCACCACCAGACATGTGTTCAGTAGGGGGGCGTGGCCGCAATTTACAGAGATGCACCAAGTGTTAATGAACAAGAGCGCTCACCATCTCTGGGACATTCATTTGAGAATTGCAGAAATAACCAGCTATAATAAACTGGGATTAGGGGAAGTGGATATACCAGAGAACTGAGTTCACCAGCCCCAAAAAACTTGGTGATATGAATTAGGAGATTAACAGTGGATTTTCCCTTAGGCAGCAGCGTGACATACTCTTTGCTTTTTTCTTTTACTAGCAGAGGACCAAGTGGTTGTGTCATCAGACTATGACAGCACCCACGAAGCCAACCACAGTGACAGCAGTGATGTAGCACATACAGAGGAGGACACAGAGGAAGGAAAAAACCCTGCCCAGAACGTCATCCTCCACCCACTAATACCTCCTGAGGTAGCGTGAGGCCAGGCAGACTGCCTTCAGTCACATTAGTGCCCTCTGATAACTCTGTTAATGAAGCACAACAAAAGGTCATACTGGAACATACATTATTTACACTGCATTTCTGTCTCTTTTACATGTCATTTGTACAGGACAAACCAATTCTGGCTCCAGAGCCGTTAATAATGGAGGACGTGGAGCCTCTGATGAGTCAGCTTAACAATTGGAACTTCCCCATCTTCTGCTTGATGGAGAAGACCAATGGGAAATGTGGACGGATCCTCAGTCAGGTGAGCATCAGTGACAGAGAATGACTATTTATTATACACTTAAGAGCAACACAAACTGCTGAGATACTTAGTAACATTATGTTTTATTGCATTCATAAATGAACAGACAAAGATATATTATACAATGTGTGTTTATTCAACTAGAGTACTACAGTCATATTTTTTTTGAATGCAGTTTTCAGTTTTATAAAATTATTGAAACATTCTTACTTGTCACATGTTAAACACCCACCCCTGGTGATGTCCACAGACTCTCTGACAATGTGATGTTTGTGTTTCAGGTCTCCTACAGGCTCTTTGAAGACACTGGCCTGTTTGAGACCTTTAAGATCCCTGTAAAAGAATTCATGAACTACTTCCATGCCCTTGAGAATGGTTATAGAGACATACCATGTAAGCTTCAACATCTCTCTCCTGTTGTCTTTCATTACACTTCAGTTTATTCATCCGTTGTTTGCAGCTGTAACAATGAAACCAGCCACTAGAGGGAAATATCAGACAGTTTTCTTTTCCTGTGTTAGTCATATATGATGCATGGCAGCCTTTATGTTGTTACAAGAAGCATAAACAGCTCAACAGTGCACCCTGGTGGAGAACGTTGCACACACTGAACAGACTTGTTTTCTTTCCTGACCCAGATCACAACAGGGTCCACGCCACAGATGTGCTCCATGCAGTCTGGTACCTCACCACACAGGCTGTGCCTGGTCTGCCCAGCCTCATCACTGACCACGGCTCTGCCAGTGACTCAGGTGTGATGACTAGTGCATGCATGCAGACCTTTGAATGACCTGGTGGGGGTGCTGATGTGTGTGTGAATCCATCAGGTCCATAAAAGTGTATAAAATAAAAGTTAAGATGCCTCATACGAACAATTGAGCTGCCATATTGTTCAGTTTTTCTAAGTTTTGTTAAGCCATTTATGACTGTAAAGATTTTCTATAAGTAGGCCAGACGTTTATATTTAGATTTTTCCATCTGCCTGCAGCTTCACTGTGAGCCACCTCATTAATGTCAGAGCATCAAACCTGCAGGAGTGTGTGTTCTTATCCTACTCACAGTTTGTCTTATCTTACTCAGGCTTTTGGCACTTGCATTTACGTATCAAACACTATTTGAAGTCTAGAACAGCATGAAATTAAAGGCAGATTAGAGTTCCCTCTCACCCATATTTCCATAACCTCATTTGTATGCCTTACTGGGGCCATCCCTTTGATCCACATATAAGTGGATTTGAATGCTCAAGTGTGCTTTTGTGTGTGTGTATGTGCTCTAGAGTGCATATGTGTGTATTTATGCATAGGCACATGAAAGTACAGTATGTGTGTTTTTGTAAATTCTGCCACCCTGCTCCTCACCCTCCTCACTGTCTGTTTCCCTGCGGCTAGACTCCGACAGTGGAATAACACACAGTCATATGGGCTTCCTGGTTTCAAAGACCTACACTGTGTCAGAAGATGGTTATGGCTGCCTGTCAGGCCTCATACCTGCTCTGGAGCTCATGGCCCTCTATGTGGCCGCCGCAATGCACGACTACGATCATCCTGGGCGGACCAACGCTTTCCTTGTGGCCACCAGCGCCCCGCAGGTACTCATGCTAATCAGTCTATAGTATAGATCAATGGCTAAATTGGCTCAAAGTACACACAACTTCATTTGCCCAATTTACTGTTACACATTCAGTTTTTCTTTGGAATCAACATCATGATCATTTGATTTTCCTCCACTGTCTATTTCACTGCCAAACTGCACTGCCAAGGCTGAAACGTGTCATCAGTCTTTGACAGTGTAATCAGACAATTACAGCAACTCCTCAACGCTTGTCAGATGTTGACAAGTCATGAGCTTGGAATTGTACAGTTTTGTCTGGTTGAGATTGTATTTTCTGTCTTATCAAATCTCTTAAAATTGAGGGAAGAGGGTGTCATGATACTGAAGTATAGCCAATATCAGAGAGCAGCAATTTTATTGACAATACCTTGGAAGCATTATGTTTTTTGTTGTGTATTCTGTTACAAGTAGAGGTGCAAGTTTTAGTAATAGTAACACCTAAATACACTTGAAGTACCAAAAGTAAAAGTACTCATTATGCAGAATAGCCCAGTTTAGAATGATGTATATTATTAGATCATAAGTATTGACGCATTAGTTTGTACATCATTTTTATGGTTGGTTTACTTTATGTCTTATCTTCTCTTATCTTTTCTGCAATTTACCTAGTATCTAAAGTTATTAAATAAATGTAGGAGCATGAGTAGAGTAAAAAGTACAATCTTTGCTTCTGAAATGTGGTGGAGAAGAAATATAAAACAGGGGAAAATCAAAATACATGTCCCTCAAAATTGTGCTTTAGTACAGCAGTTGAGTAAATACACTTACTATAATTAATTTCCATCACTGGTTCTTGCAACATTTGAATCATCTACATTATCTAGTTTCACTTTTTATACATATTTTTTTTAGCACTGTCTGTGCAGGATTGTCAGATTCACATAAAGACATGTATGTGTGTGTTCGCAGGCAGTGCTCTACAATGATCGATCCGTCTTGGAAAACCACCACGCTGCCTCAGCCTGGAACCTCTTCATGTCGCGGCCAGAGTTCAACTTCCTCGTCAACCTCGACCACGTGGAGTTCAAGCGCTTCCGTTTCCTGGTCATTGAGGCCATACTGGCCACTGATCTGAAGAAACACTTTGACTTCCTAGCTGAGTTCAATGCCAAGGTAGTTCTAAAAACATGTTTGTTCTATATTAAGTATTGAAATGATATGACCCGTAGATCTGGAGAGTTTATGGATATGGTGGTTAAATCCCTTGAAAATCATTAACTTAAAAATTGATCATTTTATTTACCTTAACTTACCTATCCTCAGATATAAAGTGAAAAGTTTGTGTATGAATAGTCCTTTTCTTTTGTCATCTTGGGAAACTAGATTGGCTGAAGACTCTGGGAGACTTTAAATGGTCGGAGTATTATTCAGTTTTTTTAGTGTATGTTGGTTGTTGACTTTGGTTGAGTAAGTGTATTGTGTAGGGGTGCCTCCCTCATACAGTCATACCATAGCTCTTAATATTGAACTTTATTGAAAGAGAAATGTCCAAGGAACGGGTCTGTTTGTGCATAACACTTGCAATATGTCCAGCTCGAGTCAACAACACAAAGCGCCCTGCAGCTTTTCAAGAACTCGTGTAAGTGCAGACAGAATGTTGGCTTTAGGTTTGAGGGTCTTGGGTTTTTCCATTGTGAATATTAGTACAGTGGTGGTGCTCAAGGGCCAGGGCCTGTCAGCTAGTATTGAGCTTGCTGGCCTGGCAACAAAAGTAATAGCACTGTTTCTCACTGTAGTGCACCCTGCCTTGTTCTTCCTGGAAGCAAATTAGCTTTCTGTGAAGTACCCATCAAGTTTTGCGCTTGATCTCCTCAGTTTCCTAGATTATTAAGTTAGAATGATAAAAACCCTGGGAGACAGTGGACATCCTTCCCCAGCTCTTAAGCTCTTTTAGCATAACTACAAATAATGAATTTGTTTGAACTTTGTTTAGATTAGTGCAAGCTTTACCTTCTTGTGTGAGAGTGCTGCCATGTCCCTTGAAATGAGTTGATAATCAGTGAATCCAGACAACTTCACATATATTACATCTTACAGAAACTGTAAGTGGTGATAACTTATTAAGAGCACAGTGATTGTTACCTCTACATGTTTAAATAAAGCACTTTTCACCTCTTTTCTATGGTCTAGGTCTATGTGTTTCATAATAGAGGAAGAAGCTACATGTGAAGAGGGTTAACTTGCTTTTGTCTCATTCACAGTGCATTCCAGTGTTGCTGTGTGATTAGTGAACCCTCTAGACAAACACACAATCTTTGAACAGCAGATTAATGGCAACACATTTACATAATATCTACAAACCACATGCTGTGTCCGCCACCATGTTTGAATGTGTTAAATGTCAACATGTCCATTTGTTGGTCCTCTAGGTCGGTGACGATCCATCCACAGGCATCGATTGGTCCAACGAGAATGACAGGTTGCTGGTGTGCCAGATGTGTATTAAACTGGCTGACATCAATGGGCCTCTGAAGTGCAAGGACCTGCATCTGCAGTGGACAGAGGGCATCGTCAACGAGTTCTATGAGCAGGTGTGTGAATCAGCTCTGATGGGAGCTGAGACCTTGTTTGTATTCGCTACGGTGACGATCAATGTGCTGTCATGTTTGTATGCGGGGGGGACAGCAACACAACCACCTGCACAGTTTAATGCACTATAGCTCAATACAGTATCTCTGAAATCGTAAATCATCCCTTAGTGAGAATGTGAGTGTTTTTGAAGCCAAAACTGAAGCCATCATTTTATCATGTTGATTTTATTTACACATTCATATAAAATATATATTAGTTCTTCTTCCAGTGGCCCCCACCCCCATCATCACTGATGATGGCAAGAAGAATTTAACGCTTGTATGCATATATAAATAAACAATAATATTCCATCCATCTAAATAATTCAAGCCTGTATCTGCACGTGTTGTTCCCCTAACAATCGGTATTTAAACAACCTGTCTTCTGGGCAGAACTCACTGCTGACCTGTGGCCTGAAATCTTATTGGTTCAGTAAAGATTTTCAACAGCTTTAAACAGAACACAATATGAAGGCCTGACAGCTGCAGCATAGAGGTACCATATGATCCAAAATCTAAAACATATAGTTGTCATAGACAAAACTTAATCCAAGACACACAGTCCAAGACATAATGTGACCACAACTACATGCCTAAATTTAACATTAACATCTCTATCCTAACCCTAACCATAACCTAAACATAAGTCTAACTTAAACCCCAAAACGAATCTCTGAACCTTCACCTTAATCAGACCCCTGAGTAAGTGAGAACCAGCCAGAATGTCCAATCCTCATTCTTCGGATCGAAAAATGACACTGATCTCACACACACACACACACACACACACACACAGAGGTAGTAAATACATTTCAACTCCTTGAAATAGAGAGTAGAGAGCAGACAAACAGGACAGAATGACTCCTGATGGCATGCTGTTTGTTTCAAACAGTCGCTCTATTTTGTCTCAAAACCCATAAGAGTAAGTCCAGAAGCTGAAATACAGTCTTCCCCCCCCCTCTTTATTTTTTCCTCCACATAGACTTAGTCCTTTGAGCTTAAGTGATTTTACCCCCCTCAATTCAGTTTTCATTCAATCTCTCTGACATATTGAGGTAGTAATGGCTGTGCTCCCTCTGAGCTGCGTTTGTGTGTGGAGCTGTCATAATAAATGAAAAAGATTTGTGTATCTGTTCAGTTATGTGTTCTGCTTTTACATTATACATTTACATGGTATTGACACATAAGCCAAAAGAACAGTAGAGACAGTGAAGATATCTGGTAGTTTTTGCATAATAATAGTGATCAGGATTCAAGTGTATTAATTTATTGTCAGTGATTAAAATCATGAGTGATTGTCGCTTCACTTTCAATATACAGTGCTGCCGTAACAAATACAATCTAGTAATGCCTTGAGCCTAATGCCACCCGCAGTGACCTTTGTGTCTCTTGGCACTGAATGGCAGCTAATTGCTTCTGGGTAAAGCACAAAATCCTCATGCCCTTATGTACCCTGCTACTTCAGCTAGGTGACACAACCAGCTTGTTAGAAGCCACTCCAAGGCCTATGAGGGGAGACACAGATAGTGTCACAAGAGAAATGCTCTTCAATGACAATGGTTTTAGTGCTGCTGGATGTGGTGACGCAAACAGGGTGCCCAGGCAACTGTCATTCAGGTGGAGCATCCTCTGATTACACTGACAACCTCGGGAGTCCAACAACCTTGAAAAAAGCAAGCACAAAGACTTTGTTTTGGAGCACAAGGAAACAAGCTGAGAACTTTCTGAAACTGATTATGATGTGTGACCCTGGCTCTATATGTATTGATTCGGGTTTGTAATACTAGATAAATCTCTGGTCCTACAGGTGCTGACATGTAATAAAAATACTGTAATCCAGAGATGAAGAGTTACATGTGTTCATTTGGATAGCTGAGTTAGAATACGTGAGACATTCATTTGGGAAAGCTAACCTTATAATGCTTCTGAACTCAGTTTAGGATGTAGTCATGGTGACAGCTGGGTCTCTGAGCCCCTCTTCCTCTAGTTTTTTTCCCCACCCATTTATATTTGTTTGCCTATCAGGAAATTCCCTCAAATTACAACTCCATCTGAAATCCCATCTTTAGATGAATCTCTTTATGCTTTACATTAGCAGCTCAATAAACGAACAGAGGCACTGAACACTCTATAGTGTAGGAGATGACATTTGGGGCCAGTCACCAAGGCAACCAGGAAACCTTGCTATAAGCTGTTGTTCATTTTAAACCATACGGACGTCATTGACAGCTTACATGCTACTGTCCCTCATTCTTGTGTAAACGACTCTCATCGACGATGCTTTTGACTCATTTCAAATGTTAGTGTGTGTTTTATATTCAACCTGACAGTTTTTTTTTTAATAATTTCCTGGGAAATCACTGACATGTAACTTTGAATTCGTAGGAAGGTTCCAGGAAATGACTTAGTAATCATATACTAAGTATAGGGAACACAGAGACTCTGTTCAGCTCTTACATTTCCAGTCATTTCCAATTAATATCTAGCTTCAGCTGCAGTATTGAGTCAGTGTACAGCATGTACAACAACACACACTACAGGTAAGTATACAATTTAACAGATCTAGAGAATTGGAAAGTTTCCTCAAAAAAAAGATGAATAGATATATGGGCAATGATACTTCCATTTAAATGTGACAGTCCTTTCAAGGAAATACCTCTGGAAATCAACACCAGCTTATAAACCAAACACAACTTATTATTACTTATTACCTGTATTTTTTTTCTATCATGTTTCTTTCTATACTTATTAGGAAATTACAGACAGATGTCAGATAAAGTGTTACCAAGGTTTTATGTAAAATAAATGTTGTCTGACATTATGTGAATGTCAGTGGGGTTATTGTGTGTTACAAGCGGGCAGTTCCTCTCCTTGCTTTCATTCATTTACAGTTTAGCCTCTCTCGGGGCAGGTAGGTAAGGGCTTGGAGCAAGGGCTCAGCAATCAGGTGTATGCTAATAGCTTCTCATCCTGGTCTTCAGGACCCAGAGTGATGCTGGCTTAAGTGTATTCACTTGGCATCCCAGGTGTAAAATAGTCATTAACTAGCTGGCTGGAATGAAAATCAATATGGCTTAAGAATTGGTATGACTTTTATTCCTTTTGTTCCACCTGTTGCACTAAATAATTTTCATTGGTTTCTTTTTTCTTTTATGCAGTCAACACCAAACTTCAAATTCTATTCACTATGAAGACTCAAAATTAATTATAAACCAAATAATTTAGTGAATTATTAATTGTAATTTTGAAACAAATAATTTAGGCCTTGACAGACTTCAACTTGACATCAATCCCAACTGTTCAGTCTGGCCTGAATTACTCAGTTCTTTTGGAATAGTAAGTGTAGTGAAATGTGAATGATGCCATGTCTTGGCATTCATTCAGCTGGTGATGATTTTGCACTAATATGGGTAATGCTTTATGTAGGGCGATGAGGAGTCCAGCCTGGGCCTTCCCATCAGCCCCTTCATGGACAGAGCAGCACCGCAGTTGGCCAAACTCCAGGAATCGTTCATCACACACATCGTGGGGCCGCTGTGCAACTCCTATGACTCAGCCGGCCTGATACCTGGACGATGGGTGGAGCCCAACCCAGAGGCAGAGGAGCCAGAGATCACGGAGAATGAGGACGAGGATGAGGAAGATACTGCAGAAGAGGACACATCCACGAGCTCAGAGGCATCACGTAAGCACTTTGGTCCAAAACAGAGCTGAAGCATAAAATGGAAAAAATCAGAAACATAGCCTAGAATGCCTTATGGATTTGATTATACAATATGATGTACACTACTGCAGGACACATTAACCAGTGGCTATAAAAAGATTTACCAGATTTTGTTAGATTGGTAAAGTCTCTGATCAGAATATAATATGATTGCTGTTGACAATTCATTATAAAGCCAAAGGGAAGACCTTCTATAGTAAATAGATGAATAAATACCTGTGAAATATGTATATATAAATATATATTATATGCAATATATTAATAACTCATCCAACATATTCACACATCAGGTTTAATCTTTTTTTAACAATGAATGAGCTATTAGATATGCTGTATTACAGCAATTATTTTTAAACAGCACAACTAGTGACAGTCAGTAATGGTAATGTGATTACAGAAAAGTTATTTGACAATAATGAATTATGCTACATGTCATTAGGTAATCTAAAGTGGCCCTAATAATCAACACTACTGATTAGCCAAAGTCTTGCTATTGGGGTAGATAACTGCAGAGAAGACTTGTAAAACACAGATGTTTTGAAGATGTTTGAGGCTGCTTTGTTACAGATGTGTGTACATCCGTTTAGAAAGGCCAGAGGTGACAACAGTTTCTGACACAAAAACTATTTGCTTTACAGCAGCTAGATGCTGCTAGGTGTTGATCATATGTCTTTACTGATAAATGACTGCATTCTTTTTAATTTCAGGTGTGAATGTATAAAATCATCAAAAATGTTTTAATGATGATATTTCTTTATCTTCCAGAGAAAGCAGCCCCCAAGAAGAGAAGGAAAGTGTTCTGTCAGATCACCCAGCACCTGCTGGAGAACCACGAGATGTGGAAGAAGGTGATCGGAGAGGAGGCCCAGAAACAGGGCCAAGGATCAGAGTCTGTCCATTTAAACAATGTAGCTGAGCCTATTCTGGCTATTCATGAGGAAGACGAGGAGCCAGGCAGCAGAGAGGAGCTGGTAGAAGGAGAGGATCCGGAGGAGGGAGTGGAGGAACCAGAGTGGCCTGTGTCCCCGCAGGAAGAATCTAAACCTCCAGAGGAACTAGAGGAGGGGGACCCACAGTGAAAGAGCCCATGGGAAATATGGCGTCAGTCAGGGCAAGGACGTGAAAAAGTATTTCTTTGTTTCTTATCCTATCAACTGACTCCTTTTTTTGCCAGCACATCACTTAGACACAACACTGTAGATGTTTGGGAAATGTGTGCCTATACAGAAAAAAACAGGGTGGGAAAATTTGTGCTTTACACATTTTATCTGAATATCTGGTTTCACCAAACATTTAAAGGAGCTTTCCATATTGCAATACGGGATTATTCGTGTACTTTGGGATACAGACTCTTTTGCTACTGTCAAGAGAAGAGGAAGACTGGTTGCACAGACCTCAACCCAATGTGGTAACACAGGACTGCAGAAATTTGCTGCCAATTTATACATAATTATTTTCAGAATGCAATTATATATAGACATCACAGTTACTTGTACTTGTGTTTCAATTTAAGCAAGAGTTTCTGAGGTCACATGGGCCATAATATGTTTTTTTTTTCTATATATGGATTGTAAAGGGAGTCAATCAAATGAGGAACATTGGTGTATCTTTCTTCCTTTCAACTTCTGCCAAAATTAATCACTCACCCATGGGCTTTAGCATAAAAACACAAACCTTCATGCATTTTAAGTTTTGTATTTGTTTTGCCAAATTAAGTACTTTATACCAATCAGTGTAGCCATATTAGTTTAAGGAGGGGAACTTGAGGCTCTTCACACTCTGTATGTGTGTGTGTGTGTGTGTGTGTGTGTGTGTGTGTGTTGTGTGTGTGCGTGTGTGTGGTGTGTGTGTGCGTGTGCGTGTGTGCGTGTGTTCGCGCGTCTGTGTGTCTGTGTGTGTCTGTGTGTGTGTTTAAACTAATGCGCTCATATGCACAATTATTTTGCAGAGGACATAGACAAAGTCAGCAGATTACCTCTTATTTGTGCCATCTCTGGTCTCCAGTCCCAAAGTGAATATAGAGCCCACCGAAGGCTTCATTGCCCCAAATGCTTTTGTGCAGAGACCTGACACTGACACTACAACAGTGGGTTGTTGGAAATGAATCTGTGCTGAAAAAAAGAGTGTTAGGGAAATAAAAGGGAATAACAACAAAACAGTTAACCATGCATTCAAACATTGAATAGAACCAGAAAGCTTAAAAATCCCCTAAATAGATTAATTGTTTAATCTTTGGAAGTTCTTTTAAAATGGCCATAGGTAGATGAACCAATGCAGTGTCCTTTTGTCTTTTCTACTAATTCTTGACTCGCTGACTATGTATTTTCGCTCAGTCTGCTGTAGTATACTCTGCACATACTGGTCCTCATGAAATAAACACCTGAAAATTATGCTGACCTTTAACCCTCAGGAAACTCAACTGTTGAATTTCAAAGTTAACATCTGTATCACCTGTGAAGACAGTAAGTTGAAAACATGGCAGGGATATTGAGCTATTTAAGAATATGTTCATAAAATGCTTAGAACAAGGATGAAGTTTATCTTGCCATACCCACTTTTCTGCCTTGACTGTTGTAACATCTTTGCAGATAATCTCTCTGGATTCCTCTCCTGGCACCTCAGGGAGATTTTCATTCTGTCAGCATCAAGAGCAGACAGGACTTCAGAGTGCATCATACAGTGATGATATACAGGGGAATTATTGCGGTGAAATGTTTTTTCACATCAGAAAAATCTAGTTAAGGTTGATAAAAGAGCAAGCTGTGCTGGCGAGTTTTCAACATCAGCCAGTCATATGGCAGGTGACATGTCCAATGGCAGTGCAAGGTGATCGGGGGCAAAACAAGTCTCTGAAGCCAACTACTATAGCTGTTTGTTTATTAAGTATTGACCAAGATAAGAGTGATGGCTGGTAGATGTGTGATTTTATCATTATTACACATTGAAATGTCAAAGTTGTCATTTGGAATTTCCCATAACCTGATGTTTTGTTGATCATGTTCAGTCGATGTGTATTTTTCCTCACAATGGCTCAAAAATGTTGGTGACAGTCATTTTTTTATGGTGGAAAATAACTGCATCAACAGCACAGTGTGATTATATTCAGTCACATTGTCTATCTATATTGTACATGTTTGGGTCATCATTGCTTCATAATCATTAAGAAAAAAAGTGGTGAGAATGTTAATTCTAGTCACATTTAACTGTTGAAATGATTGAGACCAAATAGCAAAGAGAAGCTGCTTTCTAAGAATTTCCATAAGACATGGAAAATGTTTCTACATGTGACGAGAATAAATGTGACTTGATAAAATAACACTCACCTGAATAACATGATAACAATGTAAAGTTCAGGATCTGATGCTTGATGAACGGTAAAATGTTTCAGTGTTTTGTAAAACTCAAAGTCACATGACAGCCCTTACTTTGAAATGAGACAAAGCCTTTAGGTAAACCAGATACATATAAATGTCTCAGATGAATATCCGACTTTCCTTTAATAATTCACATTTACATAGAAAACGTGTTTGAGAGACCAAAAGTAGATCTTGAGTTTAATTAGTGAAGTGTTCGACATTGAGTTGTCGAGTCAACTTACGGTCACATACGAGTGCAGTGAGGCAATCTGTAATGAATTATCCACTGCTAATCTTCTCAAATTCTCATGACCTACATGCACATCTGAGTCTCATATGGGTTGGTATCTCATACTGTACCACTGCTTTCTTTCATTATCTTATATCTTTGAACTGATTTTAAAAAGGCAGAACAGCAAACGGCAACCCGTAGATAGGATATGACAGAACTTTCCTTTCCATTGAAATTACATTGTAAGATACAGGTGTGGAACATCATGTTCTTGTATCCTTGCGGATCCTGAATTAACATACTCTATTATCACACAATGTTCCTGTCTGTGGTGAATAGCATACTCCATCGATAATGGCCTGTTTACAGCTGCCCTGACTCTGCTACAGTCAGTGTTAGAGGGGAGGAGGAACTCAGCCTTCTCTAGCTTACTCCACATGGGTTGAAGGTAATTGGTTGACCCACTGATTAGAAAGGCATTAGACAGAGAGTCATTCACAATCAAACACTGTATCAGATCAGAATTGTCAGAAGCCACTGAATCAGAACAAAATGTGTTGCCTCACTCATTGTATCTTGTATACAACATAGCATCTGTTTTCTGTATGTTGCCTGCAATTCATCTCTTATGAGCTATAATCATCATTATGGACACAGTAGATACATTTTCTTCAGCTTTTGAAAAATCTGATATGACCAGTGTTTTATAGGAAAACTACTGGATTCAACACAGACATCTCTACTGAAGTGGCCCAGAATTAGAAAAAACACTTTTGTTTGGTATCATTCACTGAGATAATATAACTTCCATTAGCATCTAGTTTCCATTTAAGCCCCTGCTTCGTGAATGAAAACACATAAAGTGTGTGAGAGTAAGAGAATGTGTGTTTGTGTCTGTGTCTATTTGAATTCTTCCACTGGCCTCTCTAATGTGACTCTGTCCTGTATTTGACTAATTGTACTGTTGAGAGGAGGGGGATACTACTTCAACTCACAAGTAGAGATGGTGATGCAGTTAGTAGTTCTTCAATTCTTCTCAGATACTTTGATGAAATTGTTATTCACAGAATGCCCTATAGCACATTTCTCCTTGCGCTTCCTCTTTGATCTACGCACTGCTTTGCCTGCAGATCTGAGATCCTCACTGGCAAAAGTAGTAGAGCAGTCATCACAAAACATTCCTCATCTTTGAAGGTGATGGGATCCTGTCCACTGTGTTCATTTTAATTGATGATCACATTTTTTTTTTTGTTTGGACGATGCATGCATTTTTCCCCAGTCACATCAGTCTCAAGTCAATACTTGCATTTGGGCTGATACAGTATATCAGTTTTGATTGTGTATTTTTATGTGTTAATTGGTTTTATTTGATTGTCATACTTATTCACACATGTAGCATAATTGTAACCATGGGAACCAAACAAGCTTTACAATTATGTAAACAAAAATGAGATGAGTATTTTTATATAGTTGACACATGATTAAATAATTAATTGCTTTCTTCTCACTAGTACCTTGCACTTACCACATGTACTAATACTTACACAAGGAAGAATATGTCCAAATACACAGTATTTGTGAAAGTAAAGTCATGAATTTCCTTGCAGGTTGATGCTCCATTTTGTACAATACACATATATGCTGTACAGTAAAGAAATTTTAAAACTACAAAAACTCTTTTAGATATACATTATTTATTTTTACCATTTTGTAATTTAGACACTATACTGTAGCTGCAATATTGCCAGACTTACTGGAAGTGCCTATATTGGTATTATGTATCATACAGTGAATATATTTGAAGATCATTAGAAGTTGTCACAAACTGAACCATGTGGATGTTGTAATGTGAATACATTGAATTACAAGACTATAATTTCTGTGGTATCCCTGTGTCTATGTTGTGTTTATTTTTCATCTGTTGATTTTCTATCTAGAATGTGTTTTATATTAAAATCTGCAAGGTAATGGTTCATCAGGTTCTAGATGCCATGCTTCCTCAAGATGTCCTTAAGTTAAAGTGTTAAACCAAGACAGTTTTGCTCACACCGAGGCTATGTGAACATTTCACATCTCTGCCAACTATTTGCTGGCTACTTGGTTTTCTGTAATCCTTTTAATTGTCTCAAATAGCTAGTAGTGCATAATTATCTTTAGTTAAATCTTGGAAAACCTTTACATTCATTTCAGGGTTGTTGAGACCCAAACAATGGAAGTAAACACCTAATCATTTTAAAGTGGTAGAAAGTGGTAGAAAATGCAATTATCAAACATTTAAATATACTAAATCGGCTACACACAAGTCTCTGTCTGAGCACAGATGCCGTATGTCTGCTCGTGTTACATTAAAATTGAAGGTATAGCTTTTCTAAGGTCTAAACCACAGTCTCGTGTGGATTTTGTTTTTATGACAGTTATAGGTTTCACAACATTACAACACAGCAACAAAAATGCAATAATTTATTGATAAATAATAATCATTCTTTCCGCCAAGCAATACAGTTCTTCAGCAAAATTTGGCAGACTGGTTGCCAAGCAACACACGGACGCCTCAACACAGACACATTGTGACAGGGGTGATAATTAACATTTATATGGATACCACCATTAATTTGGCAATTGTTGAAGCACTTGCTTTGCTGGTACAGGGGTGTTTGACTTTGGACAGCTGCGCTTTAATTGTGCGGTGCCAGAAGCAAGGATATTTCTCCAGCATCTCTCTTGTAGTTTTGATGCCAGTAAGATTGCAGGGACTGTCTCACAATTACGCCCTGTCACTGCCGCAGTAGTCGTGCTTCGCCAGACCTCCATCTCCACTGTATCAGCTGCGCCCATTATCATTCTGCTATAGGGGAAACAAGACTAGGTCAAAACCTAGTATATAGCAACAATCCCAATATAGATAGATTACTACTATAGTTAAATTGTTGAACTGTCTGCTCTGTTGATTAAATTATTTTATTTTTCGTGACCGTTATATTCATATATCTTATTACCTTATTTTGTTTACAATCATTTTACATTCTACATGTAGATCAGTGATGGAAGGAGTATTCAAATCTTCTACATAAATAGTAAGTGAAACAAGTAAAAAAAGTAAAAAAAACCCAAAACAATTTAGTAACGTACAACGCTACTATACACTGAAGTATACTGAAAGTATATCAGTAAATTATGCTGTCAGCGTTAGATTGTATGTCACTTCCGGTTGCCATCTTTGTTTA